GCTTTCCTTTGTTTAGTTTAGCAAAGACTGGGGGGGGGGGGGGAGCTGCAGGTAGGAGGTGCTAATGAGGGAAGTGAGAAGCATAATGAGTGTCAACAACCAACAGCAAGGCGGATTCCGAGCTGCACAGAACCCCAGCCTGTCAAGTTCATGTTTCGTCTTTAGGCAGGAAGTGTCCCCTCTGCACCTTGTCCCTTGGTAGAGCAGCTACTTGTGGTCTGTGGTCTCCACAGCCGTCTCCAGGGCGCGCCCCTGGAAAGGGTGAAGCCACGGCATACTGTTGTGCACACAAGTGTCCATTTCACTCCAAAAGCACACGGATAGAAGCGTGTTAAGAAGCTGCGCTCTGATGTTCTCCAAGCGCATCAGCCCAGGTCCAGAGTGTTGGGCAGCCTGGGTAACCCCGAGGGACGGGCCAGCCAACAGCCTCCTCCGGACCACTGTGAGGACAGGAGCCCGCAGAATGCCAGAGGGCCGAGGTGGCTCCCAGAGGGGGTCAAGCCAGCCCCAGGGCCTGCCGGGATGCACTGTGAAGACGTCAAAGCTGGGGTCGGCCTCCCACCATGTCGGCAGGTTGGCTGAGGCTGAGAGCATAAGCGCTTCTACCCGTGAGCAAAACATGCAGACCGACTTTCTCACTCGTCCGGGGGCTGGAAGCCCAAGATCAGGTCCCCCATTGTCAGTGTCTGGGGAGGGTTCTCCTGTGGCTGCCCGCTCGCCTGTCCTCGCGTGACCTGTCTCCTGCACATGTGTATGAAGGGAGAGAGAGAGAGAGAGAAAGGGAGGGAGGGAGGGAGAGAGAGAGGACCTCCTCTAGGACCACACGCATCCTGTCAGACCTTGTGACCTCATTTAACCTCAAGAACCCAGCCTCCCAGTCTCTTCAAACACAGCCACCCCGGCACCCTAGGGGTTAGGGCCTCAGCGCATGGACTTAGGGGAGAGGGCGCCCTGGGTCCATCCAGCTCCACAGGTGAATTGGCTTTCAGTCTGGCCGCGTGACCTGAGGAAGGCCCTGTCACTTTTCTCAGCCTTGGCTCCCTCTCGGGGCAGCGATGGTCACTGCCTCGGGACCTTGTAAGGATGAAGTGAGATCAGGTGTTGACGGGGTTAGCAAGGGCCCGGGATGCGGTGAGGGCTCAGCCGTTGCTCGCTGACATTAATCGGGTCCTCTGAGTTCTGAGAACAAGCTCCTTCTACAGTGCTCCGAGGAGTGCGGTCCAGCCTAGGACTCCGGGGCTAGCCCAGGCCTCTGGGTGAGGGTCCCAGACAGGGGTCCCAGAGCTCCTCCTTGGCATTCTTCAGGGGTTCCCAACAAGGAAGTGGACAAGGCAGGTCAGGGGGTGGTGGAGGCCCAGGAGAAGGGAAGGAAGTGTGGGAGCTGGGGGGAGCTCCAAGTGCCCCCAACCCCCACACCGGGAAGGGTGGCAGAGAAGGGAGCAGCCAGTGGGACCTGAATTAAAGCTGCCTTGTAGCTTAAAAAAATAGCTGTTTTAATATAAGCTTTCAGATTATAGAAGTTTATTGTATGAAATCGGAAAAATACAAGAAACTATAAAGAACGCAAAAGTCACTTGTAACTCTTCAAGCCCGAGTTAGCTCCATAACCTTTCCGAGCGGTCAGACAGCCCACCCGTCCCCCGGACTGTGCTGTGTGAACCGAGTGGGCTGCAGGCATTCTCAGCGCTTCCCTTTCCTCCTCCTAAGTGGGGCTGATGCTGCCCCGGCCCCCGTGGCAGAGTTGCCACGTGGATTAAGGTGGGTAGAGTGACAGGCACGGAATGGCAGCTTACTGAGCGGTGTTCTTGCTTCTGTGGAAGGCAGCACGCTTGGCTCTCCATGTCAACATCAGAGCTCAGCCGCAAATCCGCAGTCAGGCGTTATCACATCATCACATCATCCCCCAGGGCCTCCGGCTCCAGGCCTGTGCTGTGCACGTGGCAGCAAACCTGGGCTGTCATTCACAGCGGTGACACAAAGGCAGGCAGCCGTGTTGCCCTGGGAGGAGCCCTAGACATCCTCTTACCTTAAAGGTAGGATGAGCTATCCGCACAGCTCCAACCCCCACCACCATTTCCCTCTTCTAATGCAGACTGAGACCTTGAATCTTGGAGACCTTGCTGGCTTTCTATTGAGAGACTAGAGAGAGAGCAAGAGAGACTGCACACACACACACACCCTTTCCTTTCTTTGGCCAGAGTGTCTTAAGTTCACCACCTGAGAACCAAAGCCATTTCTGACCATTGCATATGAAACGAAAGCTCTGGTTGTCAGACTTCTAGGACAAAGGATCCCCAGACATGTGTTCAGCTCCGTTCTAGCTTAGACCAGTGTAGGCTATGGCTGTGATTAGCGCCACCCTCCCGTCTCTCCAGCCCTCTCTGCCCTGTGCAGAGTCTCTTCTCCCCAGGGGTCAGGACGCTACCTAGCAGGGAGCAGGTGTGTCCACAGAGCGCGCTTGTCACTCCCAGCCACCTGTCTTGTTTCCCAGCACTCTCCCCACCCCCATCCCTGACAGCAGTCCCTGGGGCCAGCTTTTCCCAGCAGCAGGGGCACGCTAAGCTTTCTCGATGTTCAGATTCCAGGCACTCCAGCCTGGCCAGCTTGCAAAAAAATATGCCAACTGTGTAAGCCAGCTGTGTGCCCAAGAGAGCCTTAGAGGCATTCCTTCAGCAGACACGCCCTGGGAGACAGCCTTCCCGGGGGCAGGCAGTGGGAGATGACGAGGGTCAGAGGAAACCTGCTTTCTTTGCTCTGTCCACAGCGATTTGCCCTGTCAGGGACAGAGCAGGTGCCTGTTCCATGCCTGGGGCTTCCCAACCCCAGGAGTCCCACCTACAACAACAATTCTGCTGGGATTTTGGTAGGAGCCGTGTTCAACAATTCCGGGAGAGAACTGACATCTTTACGACGTTGTGTCTTCTGATCATAAACACAGTGTCTCTCCAGTTATTTGGACCTTATTGGATTTCTTTTGTGGTTTTCAACATACAAAGCCTATTTGAGGGTACCTCAAAAAAGTTTGTCCAAAATGTATATTGTCTGTTAACTCCATTTTCCATAAACTTTGGAAGTACGCTTGTACATGTTTTCTTAGATTTCTGCCTAAACATTTCCATGTTTTGAGAGGCTGTGTGTTCATTGCAGTACACAGGAGCCAAGAGCTTTTGTGTATTGATTGTGAGCTTGCTGAATCTGTTTGTTCCAGGAGTTCTTTTTATAGATCTTTTGGATTTTCTATCTAGACCATCATGCCTTCTGCAAAGAGGGATGGTTTTCTCTTCTCTTTTTCAACTACCCCTTTTATTTCATTTTTCTCTCCTTACAGAGCTGGCTAGAACTCCCTGTGTTAACAGCAGTAGTAAGAGTAGATCGCCTTGCTTGCCTTGTTCCCAGCCCTAGGGCAGATGCACTCCCGGTGTTTCATCACTAAGTCTGATCTTGTAGGTTTTTTGTTTGGTTTGGTTTTTTCATTTGAAAGACTGACGGATAAAGAGAGACAGGTCCCATCACTGGTTCACTCTACCGAATGCCCACAACAACCAGGGAGCCCAAAACCAGGACCCAGGAACTCAACCCAGGTCTCCCAAGTGCTCGAGCCATCACCACCGCCTCCCAGGGTCTGCAGTAGCAGGAAGCTGGAGTCCGGAGCCAGAAGGGGATGTTGAACTCGGGCGCTCTGACGTGGGACACGGAAGTCCTGGCCATGGCCAAATGCCCGCCCACGCGGCAGGCTTTCTGCAGGTGCTCTGCACCGAGTTAAGGCCGTTTCCTTCTATTCCTACTTTGCTGAGAGTTTTTGTCGTGACTTGTTGAGTTTTCAAACGATTTTCCTGTGCCGGTTGATAGAGTTGTGTGTTTTTGTCCTTCACCCTGTTAAATCATGATTGATTAATTTTCGAATACTGAGCCAGCCTCGCAACCCCGGAATAACGCCGCTGTGATGCGTGACTGATTCTGTGTTGCTGAGCGGTGTTAGCGCGCCTTGTGCAGGGTGCTCATCCACAGCCTCGAGGGCTGCTGCTCCGGGGTTCCTCTTCGGTGTTCTCCGTCCGACTTTGTGTCAGGGTCACACCGGCCTCCTGAAATGAGCTGGGAAAGATCTGTCTCCTGCAGTTGGGCGAGATCGCTGCTCGAACTCTAAACACAGGGTAGAGGGACTTCGCCAGCATCTGAAAACTGCCCATGCCAGGGACCAAGATCTGAATCTCTGGGGGTGGGGCTGGGGCACGGGCGCTGAACGGGCCACCTGCCGGTGGCTTCGGTGTGGACGGTGGACTTCCAGTGCCCAACCCAGGAGCATGAAGAAGGCAGGATCCATCTGAAGAATGTCCTGAGACACCCCCCCCCCCGACCCCCGCCCCGAGCTCCTGCTGCCTCCTGCAGCAATGACCACATCAGTCGTATGAGACGTGCGGGTTTCACTCGGCCACGCAGTAGCCGCAGTAGCCGTGAATTCCTTGGCATTTCTGCTCTCTTGTCTGTAAAGTGCCAGTCCTTGGGTTGTTTTGGGAATAGGAGATACTAGGTATGAAGATGCTTTAGAATGTGCAGGGCATTTCAGGGAGAAACAATCGCTCTGCGGGCCCTTCCCTTAGTACCTCTGTCACCATTCCCAGTAAGTCCTATGGTGAGGCCCGGGGGAGGTGGGCCCCACCTTGGAGTGTAGGGGCGGGGCCTTGTGAGGGAGGGGCGGGGCCTTGTGAGGGAGGGGCGGGGCCTGGTGTGGAACAGGTGGGACCTGCTGAGGGAGGGGCAGGGGCCTGGTGAGGGAGGGGTGTGGCCTGGTGAGGAAGGGGTGGGACCTGGTGAGGGAGGGATGGGGCCTGGTGAAGGAGGGGTGGGACCTGGTGAGGGAGGGATAGGGCCTGGTGAGGGAGGGATGGGACCTGGTGCATAAGGGGTGGAGCCTGGTGGGAAGGTGGAGCCTGGTGAGGAGGGGGTGGGACTTGGTGAGTGACAGGCAAGCTGACCTCACTGGCGCGTCTCGCCCACTCTAGGAACATGCTTGCCAACTCAGCCAGCGTGCGGATTCTCATCAAGGGAGGCAAGGTGGTGAACGATGACTGCACCCACGAGGCCGACGTCTACATCGAGAACGGCATCATCCAGCAGGTGGGCCGGGAGCTCATGATTCCCGGAGGGGCCAAGGTGATCGACGCCACGGGGAAGCTGGTGATCCCTGGAGGCATCGACACCAGCACCCACTTCCACCAGACCTTCATGAACGCCACGTGCGTGGACGACTTCTACCATGGCACCAAGGTAACACTGCTTGGCTCCCTCTCGCTTTCTCGAGGCCTGCTCCAGGCTGGACCCGTGTGGCAGGGGAAGGGTGTGGTGTCTCAGGGGCCACAGCAGTGGCCGGAATAGGGATTCCAGCCAAGTGCCACAGATTTCCGTGGCCACAGGGAAGGCAGCCTTTATGCCTATTTTGCTGATCCGCGTCACGGACCCAGGCACCAGGCTAAGAACTGATTTTGCTGTGGTATTGTGTGTCACGTAATACAGACCTGAAGGAAGCAGAGAATCGGCTGGCGTCTATTCTCACGTACAGGGGAGGGAGCCGGTCCGAGGCCTCCTGCGTGCGATACGCTAAATTCAAGCCCCAAGGGCTGAGATCATAAAATCAGCTCTTTTAGGTGGCAGAGAATTTGAAGCAGACACAACTGCCTGCTCTTGGGTCACCTGGCTTGCCCATTATTTTTAAAAACAGCGTGAAAAGGACCTGGGGGGGGGTCTCTTTGCGGAGTGAGTTGTCATGGGCAGTGTCCCACAGCTCCAGCTGCACCTGAGCTGCTGTGCCCTCCTGAACGCAACATCCAACACGTCACACCCGACACCCGCGAATACACAAGCAGGAGGAACTATTGTTTTTGCAGGAAGAGCCACCAGTGGGTTCCTCCACCCTTCCTGTGTGCCCCGGACACCTGTCATTGCTGTCATCCCTCTGCAGTGCGATTATCTGTCCCATGCTGGCCTCTCCCTGGTCTTCAGACAGAAGGCAAGGCCTGGCCGTAGTCCTCTGCTTCCCCAGAGCCCAACACTGACCTGGCGATAGAGTGTTCATTCCCCTAAATGCTTGTTGAGTGAATGACTAAGCAGTGTTTCTCCACGTGAGTCCCTATGCTCTGTCGTGCTTCAGATTCGCCAGTGATGGTGTTTTAGTTAGAATCTCCAGGGCCCCAGCCCCACCCTGGCAGCAGCCCCTGGTACTGGCTGACTCACAAAGGATCTGGCTTCTAATACCCCCAGCTTCCACCTGCATGGCTGCATCCTGTGTCCTACTCTGGCCCACAGCCCCAGGAGCTGCAACCCTGCGCCCTAAAATCCTACCTTCTCTTTACCTGGGGTTCTCAGAGAACCCCACCCCCACACTCAGGGCCCTCCCACTGGGAACCATCTCCCTGGAGGCTCAAGTGGTCCAGCTGCCACGCGGTGACTCACAAGTTCCCCAAGTCCATCATCCGGGAGCCTGGATGGCGCTGCTGGGTTAGGCAGAGGCTGGCCAGGGGGACACAGCCCTGTGGGCCAGCCCACCTCGGGCGGACGGCCCTGAAAGTCTCTCTGAGGCTACGCCCCCTCCCAACCCAGGAAGGCTGGGCGTGAGGAGTCGGCCAGCCAGTGCTAAGGCAAGGGTGTCCCCAGGCCTCATGCCTCGGCCTCTGGGGCCACACCAGCCGAGTGCAAGAGAGGGAAGCAGTGGGCAGACCCTCCCTCCTTTGTCCTCCAAGAATACCCCCAGCCCCTGCAGGAGCTTTGCTAAGCAGGGAGGAGAAGAGGAGCTCACCAGCTCAGGGTCCTCTCACAGGTCACCCGGGTGCCAGTCAGGGCGTGACCATGTCGGACTCCCCACTGCCAGGAACTGGGCCAGGCCTGCTTTGTTTGTGGTTCTTGTTGCCATTTCTACTGAGGTCTAACATCTCAGGGTATTTCAGAAAGGTCTTGGAAAAATAGAATTTAAAGATAAATTTATTTTGGTGCCAAAAAAAAAAAAAAAAGAGTGACATCCATGCATGGAGAGGACCTCAGAAAGTTCATGGCGGGCCAAGCCTTCAGGCCAGCGGTCAAGGTGCTGCTCAGGATGCCTGCGTCCCATCTCGGAGCACCTGCCTTTGAGGCCTGGCTCCACTCCACCGCAGCTCCGGGTGCAGGCGGGCCCTGGGGCGCAGCAGGTGGTGGCTCAAGTAACTGAGGTCCTGCCGCCCACCTGGGAGACCTGCCTGAGTTTCTGAGTTTCTGGCTTCAGCCTCAGCTCAGCCCCATCCATTACAGGCGTCTGAGGGGTGAACCAGTGGATGGGAGCGCTCTGTGTGTGTGTGTGTGTGTGTGTGTCTTTGCCTCTCAAGTAAATAAATAAGCACTTTTAAAGTTCAAGGAAAATGTACAGTGTGAAAAACTACACGCGGATTACAACTTTTTTTTTTTTTTGCACCAAAACAAATTGAATCTTTTAATTCCATTTCCTGCACAGTTTTGGAAGTGCTTTTGTGCACGCAGAGAAGTGCACCAATTGTGAGACTGCAGCTCCCCGGGCCAGGGAGCATCACCAGACCCGGAAGTCCCTCCCAGTCTCTGGTCCCCACCGAGGATAAGCACGGCCCTGACCGCCAATGTCATATATGTAGAAACCAGCTGAACCGAGACAGTCGCATGTCATGCAGTTCATCTCTTCGAAGCGTGGAAGTCTGTGGGTTTTGGTGTACTGACTGTAGAGTGTTTATGCTTTATGCGTTGGAGTCAAACAATGCATACCCTTCCTGGGTCAGAGCCTGGCTCGTGTTATCAAGGGCCACCACGTTGTCCAGTGTTCCATGGTGCGACGGCCCACACAGGACTTTCCCATGCTAGCAGTAGGTGTTGAGGGCTGTTACACATACTGTGGCTATGAACGCTGGCCTCTGTGTCTTTTGGCAGATGTGTGTACATGATTTGGTGTGCATATTCCAAGGAGTGGAGTTGCTGGGGCATAGGACACACATATGTTCATCTTTACGAGATACTGTCGAGGGTTTTCCAAATGGGTTGTGACAGTTTGCACTCCCCGCAGTAGTAAGAGAGGCCAGACTATTTATTTTATTTTTTAAAGATTTATTTATTTGTTTATTAGAGAGGCAGAGGCTCCCAAATGGCTGCAATGGCCAGAGCTGGGCCGATCCAAAGCCAGGAGCCAGGAGCTTCTTCCGGGTCTCTCACGTGGGTGCAGGGGCCCAAGGACTTGGGCCATCTTCCACTGCTTTCCCAGGCCACAGCAGAGATCTGGATTGGAAGAGGAGCAGCCAGGACTCAAGCTGGCGCCCATATGGGATGCTGGCGCTGCAGGCAGAGGCTTTATTCACTACACCACAGTGCTGGCCCCGGTCAGACTATTTAATGTCAACGTAACTATGCCAGTCCATGCTGGGGTCCCTTCTGTAGTGTGCACAGTCCTGGGACCAAGAGTTGTAGCTTGCTGGTTCCTGTTTGTGCCTTGAGACACTTTTTTTTTTCTTTTTTAAGATTTATTTATTTACTTGAAAGAGTTACACAAAGAGGAAAGGCAGAGAGAAAGAGAGAGAGGTCTTCCATCTGCTGGTTCACTCCCCAGTTGGCTGCAACGGCCGGAGCTGTGCCGACCCGAAGCCAGGAGCCAGGAGCCAGGAACCAGGAGCTTCCTCCAGGTCTTGGGACACCTTTAGCCATGGGCCTGATCTCATACTGTCTGCCAGTCTCGCAGTGGGCAGCCTGGCCATCTCTGTCTTGCTGTCTGCATTGTCCTCTGCTGGGGCCTTGTTTGCCAGGAATGACAGCCCCCATCCCACCCCTACCCCCTGCCACACCAAAAGCCTTCAGCTTCAAAGCTTGGGCCCCTGCACCCACAGGGGGATCCTGAAGAAGCTCCTGGCTCTTGGCTTCGGGACAGCCCAGCTCCGGCTATTGCAGCATTTGGGGAGTTAACTAGCGGATGGAAAACCTTTCTCTTGGTCTCTCCCTCTGTCTGTAACTCTACCTCTCAAATAAATAAATAAGTAAACCCTTTGCCTCAATCATCCCCTTAGCGAGATGGAGATCCTACCTTGTCCTGATCTCCCAGCCTTCATATGGAGCCCCTGACCTGGCCCCACCCGGACCACTTCAACAGCCCTGCCTGTGGCCTCCCCGCCTCCCAAGAATACACGTCCTGCCCCTGGTGCCGGCTTCCTGTTCCCTCCCCCTCCTCAAAGTCTCCCAGGGAGAGGAAGCGCTGTTGTGGTGAGAGGCACCCTGGGGCGTGTGGATTTCATTATTGGCACCCTGCTGGCACACCTGCTGTGGCGCGTGAACACCCTGAGAGCCGCAGCCGACCTAGTTTGTGCAGCCCGGCAAGGCTATTCGCGGCAGGTGTCTGGGTTTCTAGCAGGAGCTCGCCCTGCGATAAGGCAGGAGGGAAGGGGAGATTGGATTGCGTCTTTTTTGTTCTACTTGGGGCGGAGCTTCGGGGGCCTGGTCCCCTGCGCTGCTTGCGAGTGCCTACTGGGCCATTGGACAGCAGCAGTCAGGGCTGGGAAAACAAAACGGTTGAAAGCGTGGCTTTTCCGAGAGCATCTGGGCCTCCATTGTGTTAGGGCTGAAGGGGTTTCTCTGCCTCGCCCCTTTGAGAGGCTGTGGCAGGCTCTGCCTGGCGCCCTCGCTCCCGGCGGGGTCACTGGATCCTCCTCCAGCCTCAGCCCCACCCCCACCCCCTCCAACCTGCTGGCCCTGCCCTCCCCAAGGCCTAGAATTTGTGTGTCAGGGAAGGTGCCACCTGCTTTCCAATAATTTAGACCCCATTCAGGAAAAGAGACTCTCCAGGCCAGCGTTTCAGTGGGGTCACAGGGTCTCGTGCTAACTCCTGTCGGCTTAGCTGACTTCCAACTTACATTCTTTTGTAGGCGTCTAATAATTGCCCAGTAAAGAATGTTCATAGCAGCTAGTGAGCTCCACCCACCGTTTCCAGGTGGAAATATCAGAATCAGGTTTTAGAAAAAACACCATAATTATTTGAGATGCAAAGAGACAGAAAGAGAGAGCTACACAGACAAAGCAGCAGTGAGAGGGAGCTGCTGTCCACTGGTTCAGTTCCCACACGCGCATAGCAGCCAAGCCAAAGCTAGGATGGGTCCAGGCCTCCCAGGTGGGTAAACCAAGGCACTGAAGCCATCGCCTGCTGTCTCCCAGCGTGCACATGAGCAGGAAGCAGGAATGAGGACTGGAACCCAGGCACTGGGTGTCCTCGTTGCTTGGCCGAACGCCTGCCCCCAGAGCCT